AGGCAGAGTGAAAATTTAGGCAAGTTTCCTTACTCCACATGCCTTTGTTTGGCTCTAGCAGAGAGTAGGAACCCGGTTATTAGTTAATTGGTGGATTGGTTTCCGGGGGTAATAATCCTTTCAAAAAACAATAATAATTTGGTCATTCAAACCATGACTCTTTGTGCGAAACTACTGTGTGCAATTAGCTGCCACTTTTCACTCTCAAAATATACAGTCATTATAGTATATTTACAGTATATACTTTATAGTATATTCTGTGAAGCTCTTTGAGATGTCTTGAAGACTTGATAAGGTGCTATATCAAGTGCAAGGATTATTATTTTTGTAATGGCTTTCATAATATCAGGTGACGTCTCAGGATTTATTGTAAAATGTAGTGACTGTGTATTTTGCATGCGAACATGGCAGCGAATTTGCACACAGGAATGCCCCACAAATAGCCATGAAATGAATGACCAATTTTAGTTGGAGGGATTGTTGCCCAGGATACTGGGAGAAATTCTTTTTTATTTTCAAATAGCGCCATGGTATCTTTAATGTCCTTCTAAACAGGCTGGTAGAACCTCAGTTTAACGCCTCATTCAAAGATGATGGCACATCCGACAATGCAAGTGCAACCCTAGCACTGTACTGCTATCCTGGGTGAAGGGCACGATGTAAATAGTTGCATAGTTGCAAGTTGTTGTTGAATTGTTGGAGTCCTTCCTGTAGCTTAGTGGTTAGAGCACTCGCCTCGCAAGCGAGAGACCTGGGTTTGATTCCCGGCAGGGTGAAATATTGGGCAAATTTCTTTACTCCACATACCTCTATTTACTTAGCTGTAAATAGGAACCTAGTTGTTAGTAGATTGGTGGATTGCATTTCAGGGGGTAATAATAATTGGTCACTTCAATCCACGACTGGATTATGATTTCGCCCACGAAGTATCTAGATCATTAATTTTACAGTATATTCTGTGATGCGCTTTGAGACGTCTCAAAGACGTGATAAGGCGCTACATAAAATGCAAGGATTATTATTATTACAACCTTCTGACTGTAATGGGAGCATGCTGCTTTTTGGATTTTCAAAGGGAATTTCATTGTATTGTAAAGAAGATAACAGCTCATAGTTGGGTAGTTGGATTGAAGAATCATTCGGTAACAGGAGCAGAAGATAGTGATACATGGAAATATTTCTGTTTGAAGGAGGAGTGAGTAAAGAATTCCAACAGCTTTGTTTTGGAATTTCTGCTGTTTATACTCCTCATGAATGACTCAGGGAAGAGAATTTGTGATCTATTTATTTAGTGATGATACTGAGCTATGAATAAAATAAAGAGAACAAAATAGCATGTGGGTAGTTCTAGAACAATTGAACGCATCTGCCAAGGAGTGGACAATGTATTTTGGTATACATAAACCCAGTGTGTATTGGAATAAGAAAAGCTGAAAAATTGAAGCAGATGTGAGAAGGGACACAATTGAGTTGTATTTATTGATCCTTTCAAAGGTGCCTAATCAACTTATGTCTGTTGTCAATAAGACTACTCAACTACATTCATCGTATGGGCATGGTGCAATATAAATGTTGCACTATTATAGTATTAGGTTGCATCTCGTAGGCATTTTTCTATAAAATACACAGTCATTAAACTTTACTGTAAGTCCTGAGAAGCACTTTGAGATGTCATCCTGATGTGAAGTGGGCTAAATCAAATGCAAGGATGTGAAGCACTGCCTTGAAGTTCAAAGTCCTGATGTGGGGCTTGAACGCACAACTTTCTGAATCACAAACAACAGTGCTACCAGCTGAGCCAGACTGACACTTTGACTTCAGGACTTTTAGCTCATAGTCTAGGCTGACACTTTGGGCGGGGTGATGTGGAGGGAGTATTACTGGATTTTCACAAGTGAGACAGAAATCTGTGTGGACTATAAATACTGGCACAAACTACTTGGACTAAATGATCTGTTCCGTTGCTGTACAGTCAACTTAATTCAATGTGATAGTGAGCAACGAGTCAGCGAATACTTCCCAGGTTTTGTTTCAGCTTCTCGTATTGGAAAGGAAGCCAGGTTTGAATTGTGATGATGTTGGAACTGAACAGTTTTAACTTAGTTATAACCATAGAAATGTTGCAGCACAGAAGATGGCCATTTGGCCCACTGTGTCTGTGCAGGCTCTGTTAAAGAGCAAACCTTTCAGGCCCATTTTCCTGATTGTTTCTGGGAGTCCCTCCGCAGACCTTTTCCTAGAGGAAATTGAATGCTGAGGGTTGAGAATCATGATAGGATCAGGTTTTCAAGAATCATTCCGCCAAAAAAATATACAGACAATTCACTTTACAGTATATTCTCCGAAGCGCTTTGAGACGTCTCGAAGATGTGATAAGGGGCTATATCAAATGCAAGGATTATTTATTATTAATTATTATTATCATCATGGAGGGAGCTGGTTTGATGGGCAAAATCACCTTCTCTTGTCCCACTCTTGCTCCTGCACTCACACAAGTGCCTTCTACCTTAGTGAAAGATCAAACTTTGCAAAGTTCCTCAAACCTCTTTTATTTAGAGCAGACAAAAAGAAATGTCTGTAGTTATTTCTTTTAAAAGTTGGATTAGGTCATCTGTTGATCTTGGATCCAGTAGAATTAAATGAAAGTAATCTCATTTATTTTTTGGAGTCCGTGCATCAACCCACTAAAACATCCAGTTACAAAGCTCTACAGAGTCCCTGCTGTAACTCGCAAAGACATTTCTGAAGTGTCGTTTCAAAGCTTTCTTTTAACAGTACTTTGTTACGGGCGCTTGAAAGATGCAGCTGCATATTCATCAGAGTCGCTGCTCATAGCTGTGCTTCTTTTCATTGAAAACATCTTCAACTAATTTGAGGCAAAACACCTGAATAAACATGTTGCAAAAGTGTTTATGTATTGAAGTGGGCCATTTCAAGGTACGGCATTTGGCTGGAATTTGTGATTTCTCTTTTACAGCAAACATGCTGCCAGGGAGAGGAAGTGGGGTCTGAATTAATATGTTTGTTACAGTGGAAATAGAATGGAAACTACTGAAACCACAAATCAAACTACTCCATTCATTTGTGCCAGTACAGAAGTTTCTCCTGCAAGATGCAGGCTTTGGCCCTTTGCCATAGACTTGCCTTTAAAAGTACCTTAGCAGATTATTTGTCTAAGGTTTACTCGAGTGAATAGATCCAACTTCTTTCATTAGTACTTCTAGAAAAAAAATTATTGTGCATTTGGGAGCACAAATGCCTTTTTTAAACTGGCGTTATTTAGCAAAGCTCCTTGTCGCAACTCCGCACAGGGGGAATGACCCCAAATGCAGGATGTAGCTGTGTCGTAAACAGCTAACTTGTTTTTGATCTTGCAAGCGACAACAGATATATAAAAGAAGGGAGGAGGAAAATGCTCAGAAGCTTGGTTCAAAGGTGCAGCCCTATGCTGCGGGGCTCGCGAATAAGTCATCGCGAACAGCTGTACAGTATCAAATGATAGGTCTTCATTTTTGTTTGCTGAGAGCGCCGTACGTATTTTTGCAAAATAAACTGCTTGTGCTGCCAAAATAAATAACAGCCGATAGAACGGGTACACTGGTCAGTGAGAGAAAAACGCAGTCAAGAAATCGTTATCAACCTCAAGAATGCAGCACATCCCCAGCACTGCATTGAAGTGCCAGCTTAGGCTATGTGAGTTCCAAGTCCTGACATGGGACTTGAACCCGCAACCTTCTGCCTCAAAGGAAACTGAAATTAATGAAAGTACCCAGTTCATTATCATAACAGGCCTTACTTTTGATATAACGTGCTGAGACGATACCCCATGTGAAAGACGCAATATAAATGCAAGTTGATGTTGTGCCTTTCACATTGAGAGGATGTCTCAATGCGTTTCATAGGATATGGTGTACAGTGCAGTAACTGTACTGTGGGAAAACATGACAACCAAATTGCACACAGCAATATCCCACAAACAGCCATGAAGTGACTGACCAATTTTATTTGGGGGATTGTTGAAACTCACTTCTCTTTTCCAGTAGTACCGTTGGGGGCCTCAGGTTAACGTTTTATCCTAAGGACGGCACCTCAACAGTGCAGCATACCCCTAGCACTGCACTGAAGTGTCAGCTTAGGCTGTATGAATTCAAAGTCACAATGTGAGGCTTGAACCCACAACCTTCTGTCTCTGACTCAGTGGCAAGAGTGCTACAGCCTGAGTCAGCCTGACACAAAAATCACACACATTAAAGGCACAGTTGCTCAGCAATGAAACCTAGTGAAGCTGGTAAAAATGTCAGCAGCATTTAAACATCCTATCTGCTGAGCATGTGTCCCTGGTTCTGGCTTATGTCTCGTGTGTAACGTGATTTGGTCTGAGAGGTTTTGAATCCAAAATATCTGATTTGATTTTATTGAGTTGTGGTAATGATGGTGAAAGCAACTGCATAAGTGGCGCCTGTGACACTGGAGAATGTGTCTCAAGACCTAAAATATTGGCTCCTTTCAGAGAACCATGTCCATTATGTAGACCTGAGAACTTCTTATTTCCAAGGTGATCTTGTATGGGAGTTGACTTCTCTCAGGTCAGCATGAGGTGTGTGTGCTCCCTGGACAAGACCCACCTGCCGTCCTTGAGCCACCTTTGCCAGCGTCAAGGCACTGTTCACACCTTTGGAATTTCCAATGAGCACTTTTTCAACCTCCTCCGTCCTCGTTACCACTTTCTCTGCTTGCTGGAGTCGGTAGGGAGACGTGGTGAGAAGCATAGAAAGGCTGTGGTGGTTCAGCACATTTTGAAAATCTTAATGAAAAATCAAGCACCCATTCGTCAGAATGTGCGGAAAAAGAACCTTGGACTTCCACTCGAGTTACATAATCCAGAAGTGGTGAAGCTGCAATTAGACAGGATGGATGTAGAGTGACACGATTTTCATTAATTTCGCACCGAATGCTCTTGAGCGCTCAAAGTTATAACTTGATGCTGTTAATTTTTCCAGGTCGCACCATTAACATTCGATCGGCTGGCCTGATAGGGAGACATGGACCGCAGTCAAAGCAACCCTTTATGGTGGCCTTCTTCAAGGCCAGCGAGGTGCTCCTTCGCTCTGTCCGAGCTACTAACAGTAAACGGAAGAACCAGAATCGAAACAAATCCAGTGGCTCTCAGGATTCATCACGAATAGCCAATCCGGGAGGTACGTCTGTGGTTGGCGCGCGTTTGATTGCTACATGTTTTGTTCTTTTATTGGAAACTGGTTTCAGTGAGTTGTGCCTTGTTAATGTGAGCAACAGTGCTGAGAAATTACAGGCGGTTTACAGCGCAGACCGGCAGAGGCCTTTTGTCCCATCATGGCCGTGCTGGAGTTACCTCCTTCACTGGACTTGTTTCTGTTTCTGCACTCAGTGTCAACATCAAAGGTTCCCAATTCAGCCACAGAGTAAATAATAATAGTAATCCTTGCATTTGATATAGTGCCTTATCACATTGCCAAGACATCTCAAAATGCTTCACAGAATATATTGTAAAAGTGGATTGACTGTGTATTTTGTGGGCGTAACACAGCAGCCAATTGTGCACAGCAGTGTCTCACAAACAGTCATGGATTGAGTGACCAAATTTGTTTTTTTGTGTGGGGGGAGGGGGAGATTATTATCTGTGTAAAGCAATCTGCCAATTGACTAAAAATCATCTAAAAATCCCAGATGATGCACAATACAACTGGATGCAGAGTAAAGCTCCCTCCACTGAGCTTCAGCTTCAGAAGAGAGCACTGGACTGCATTACAGCAGCATTTGTCTACTTCCCATATCCACGTCTCACATGTTTACCTGGAAAACCCATCATCACTAAACTCTGCTGTATATCCTGTTGAAGCGCTTTGAAACATCCTCTAAGCCCGAAAAGCACAATGTTAAATGCAAGGATTATAATTACCATTATTATTAATAATAATGATTATTATTATTAATGATAATATACACAGTATATTCTTTGACGTGCTTTGAGACGTCTCAACAAATCATATCAAATGCAAGTATTATTATTATTATTAACCTCTATGACTGAGAACTCCCAACAATTTGATATTCCAAAACATTTTGCTATGTTTTACGTCACTGAGAACATGGTTGAGACATTTATTTCACTTTTCAGAACCTAGCTTCTCCAAATTGAAGCAAACTCCAGAAAACACTACACCTCTATATCCTCTTTTCCTTTTTACGTTCATTTTTTGTCTGTGTGTGTGTTTCTGCTCGTTCACAATCATTGTGCTTGAGCTTCCGAAACAACAGCGAGTAAGTCTTGAGTTTGATGCCTCTCTTGCCTTTGCAGAGCCCTCTATTGCATTTTACATTTCCTAGGCCTCTCTTACTGTAACCAGTGACCTCTATCAGTTTTAATTAAGCAAGATCCCTGTTAGTTACTGCAGGATGTTATGTCTAGTGCAGTGCAGAATTCATATGGCAAGCTTTGATCTTCCAGAAGCTTTTCCTGTGATGGTTCTGTCCTCCTTAATTCCTTAAGAGTTTGCCGTGGATACTTCAGTTCCAGTCTATTATATTGGACCCATAACCCGACCGCCCTGTCACTCATTTACGCTCAATAAAGGCCTTTTAATCAGTCATCTCTTACCAGAGGGTTTGAGCAACATAATTAAAGAGCTAGATGACAACAGGAATGACTTCTTACTTCCTGCCTGTGTAAATATGTGTTTGTGCTCTGGTTTGCTGGTATTTTATGCTAACAAATGCCCCGAGGGCAAAGCTGGTTATCAGATCACCCTGTTTAAAATGATGAATTGAATCTTGGCCTGTACAGAAATTCAGGTTCTACTGCCTCCTCCAGTATTGTTTAAATAAAAAAATAATTTGTATGACATTTAGCAGGGTAAGTCTTAGTGCTTATAAACAAAACAAATCCATCAAACCTAAATAGTGGCGTTATTAAAGCACTGCTGACTGATGCTAATCCCTATATGAATTCAAGCCATGTTTCTGCACTGAAAACCAAAGGTTTTGATGATGCTGCATGGTTGGCTCAATGGTGCTAAGATAGAGCACTTTGAAGATGTGTCCTGTAGAGTAGTGGTTAGTGCACTCGCCTCATAAGTAAGAGGACCCGGGTTCGATTCCCGGCAGCGGCGAAACCTAAGGCAAGTTACCTTATTTGTTTATTAGTAGTAAGTAGGAACCCGGTTGTTAGTCAATTGGCCAATTGCTTTCTGGCGGTAATAATCCTTTCAAAAAATTATGATTTTGTCACTCAACCCACAACTGTTCGTGGGACACTGTTATGTGCAATTGGCATTTCGCCCCAAAATATACAGTCAATTCACTTTACAGTATATTTTATGAAGTGCTTCTAATGCTTCTAGACGCTTCAACAAAAAAGCACTACATGAAATGCAAGGATGATTATTATTATTGTGGAAAATTATTTTTTCCCCCTCAACAACAACAACAACAACAACAAGATTCCATTTATAAAGCGCCTTTCACGTCAGGAGGACGTCCCAAGGCGCTGCACAGTTGGGTCATGACCCGAGCAGGGGGGAAATGGTCAGGGTGAGGGAGGGAGGGAGCGAGAAGGGGGAAGAGAGTCAAGAGGGGAGCTGAAGGCTCGGTCAAAGTGAAAGGTTTTGAGACCGGCCTTGAAGGAGGAGAGCGAGGAAGCAAGGCGAAGGGACTGGGGGATAGAGTTCCAGAGCCTCGGGGCTGAGAGGCTGAAGGCCCGGCCACCGATGGTAGGGCAGTTGGGGCGGGGGATGTGGAGCAGACCGGAGCCAGAGGAACGGAGGGTACGAGCAGGTAGGTAGGGGGATAGTAGGTTGGAGAGGTAGGAGGGAGCAAGGCCGTGAATGGCCTTGTAGGTGAGGATGAGGATCTTGAAATCGATCCTCTGGGGGATGGGGAGCCAGTGGAGGCGAGCGAGGGTGGGAGTGATGTGGTCGCGAAGCCTGGTGCGGGACAGTACACGAGCTGCAGAGTTCTGAATGACCTACAGCTTGTGGAGGGAGGTGGCGGGAAGACCTCCATCGGTCTCTCATAAAGAATTCATATTCCAGATTAAGACTGAATTTGAAATCAGTTTAATCTTAAATTTTAAGGCAAAATGATCTTAAGAGGCTGAAAGTTACCGCCAGCCCCCTACAGTCCTCCCTTACATCCCCCACCCCGAAAGTCGTTTTCACAGAATCAAGAGTTCAAAAACCCATAATAATAATAATAAAAATAATAATAATCCTTTTACATATATATTTGATATGGCACCATCCAAATCAGAAGGACATCTCAAGCACTTCACAAGATATACTGTAAAGTGCAGTGAATGTGTGTGGGTGAGCAATAAATTGTCTTAGACGGGCGTAGCATTGTGGGATCGCACCCATATCGAAACCTGCTGAGCAGGCTCCAGTGCTGAATTTTCTGCTTCCCTAACTGGCAATGACATCTGTTTGCCCGATAATGAGTGTGATTATGTTTGACATAGTGTAAAACTGATTTTGAATGCCTCTAAATACTATACTTAAAACTCAATTGAAATGGTATGACAAAAATGTCATTTTTAATTGCAATAATTAAAACCACATTGAAGAGTGTGCTGTTAAATGGGTCAACACCTCACTTTATTTTTGAAGGCCGGGGTGAGAGTTTCTTTGTATGTGCAGTAGAATTGCCAATTTTCCTGTTGAGTTGCGTTGTGAAAACAATCCACCTGTATCAAACTGCTAATTATTTGTGAACAATTTAAGGAGCAAGAGGCCCTTCACTCCAGTGCACAGATAGGAGTTCAACAGGAAACAACTGTAGTTTTGTATGGGGTAGAACAACAAAGAGTTTAGAAGAACTTTTTTTGTGCATATGCACAACAGAAGCTTATTGGAGTCATGGAATGCATGACTAGAACAAAGATTGAAGGAGGAACTGTGTGATGATAATTGATAATAATTCTTGCATTTGATATAGCTCCTTTCAGGTCAGCAGGACATCTTAAAGCATTTCACCAGAATTAATAATAATAATAATAATAATAATAATAATCCTTGCATTTGATATAGCACCTTATCACTTCTTTGAGATGTCAAAGCACCTCACAGGATACACTGTAAACTGTAGTGACTGTATATCTTGTGGGGGTAACGCGGCAGCCATGTAATACATGGTATATTTTGTGGGCAAACACTGCAGCTAATATCTCACAGTCATATTGTGAATGACCAATTTCATCTGGGGGATTGTTGGCCAAGACCCCGGGTGGGAGAAACTCCTTTCCCTTTTTGAATTGGACTGTGGGATCTTTGAGGTCCACCTGAAAGAATAGAGCAACAATAATGAGCAATGATGTGACAGACTCTTCAGTCTTTAAATGAGATGTCTCATCGAGGGCCTTATTAAAATATATAAGATTTTAAGTGGGATTGAACAAATGAACCTAGGTCAATACTTTTGAATGTGCCGAGACAGCAGAACAAGAGGGCACAAGTTCAGTGTTGCAAAAGGCAATTTATGGACAGAGACCAATAAGTATGTCTTGACCCAGAGGATAATTAAGGACTGGAACATATTTAACAAGAAGGGTGATTGAGGCCAGGACACTGGGCTCATTTTAAAAGAAAAAGCTTAATATTGTGATGGGTGGATGGTAATAATAATAATAATAATCATTGTGTCTGATATTGTGCCTTATCAGGCCATTGTGATGTCTCAAACGCTTGACTAAATGTACTGTAAAGTGAATTGACTGTGTATTTTGAGGGCGAAGCTTAGAGTGGGTATTCAGCAAGGATGAGATCAAATGGACTGCAGAGCTTTCTTCATCTGAACCTTTCTTGTGATCTTGTTAACCAAATTCAGTTGCTTTGGTTTTCTTTGAACTTTTCTTCCCCCCAATTACAAACAAGTCTTTTTATGCCTTTGGGGAAAACATTGCACTCAATGCCTTTCGCAAACTTTTAGCACAGAGCTCACGTGTTAATGTAAATGGATGGTTCAGTGCGTCTCTCTCTCTTTCTTCACAGAATATAACACAAGTGAACAGAAACAAGCGTGCAAGAAACATGAACTTTACGTGAGTTTTCGGGACTTGGGGTGGCAGGTAATTAGCTGTGTTTTTAGCCATACTTGTGAAAATCCTTCAAAACTGTTGAATGTCTTCATGGCTTAGTTCAGCAAGAGATCAGTTTTTGTCGTGCAAAGTCCATATCATAGGCAATCCCAGCTTCAATGTGTCTGGCGTTTCAAAGCAGCGATCACAGATTAAGCATGGTAGGGACCTTGTGAAATTGCTTCGAAAACAAGGAGTCAAACATTTTTACCAGAGATCTTTGTAAAGAATCTAAATGTGGCATATTGTCAGCCTGTCTCAGTTGGTAGCAGTCACTCCTCCAATTGGATTGATGTATTTCCTGTTACGAGTTGGACCCTATTAACATACCTGAGATTCCTTATTTAAGGATGCCCTTTTAAGAAATTCCCAAAATAGACCGAACCATATGAAACTTAAGAGTGCTAATTCTTTCAAATGACGGTAAATTTGCTGACTGTACAAACTGGAATCTTAAAGCTTGCGTCCTGTGGAAATTTCAGGCCTCCCTCTGAATTCTAACTGTGTTGGCCAGTAAAACTTGTGATTTTTAAGAATTGTGAAATATGCTTTTTTAGATGAAATCTTACTCATTTTAACCATTCTATAATTAATATGGATTGTACAGCACGGAAACAGGTCATTCGGCCCAACCAGTCCATGCCGGTGTTTATACTTCAAATAAGTCTCTACTCATAGCTTATATCGCTCCCATACTATTCCCCTCTCCCTCATGTGAACGTGTAGCTTCCGTTTGAATGCATCTATGCTGCTTCAACAAACATTTTGGGCAGCGAGTTCCACATTCTCACTACTCTGTGTGGGAAGTAGTTCCTCCTGAATACTTTTAGATCTTCTAGTCACTACCTTATATTTGTGTCCCATGGTTACAGACTCCCCAACAAGTAGAAACAGTCTATTTGTGCTAACCTTATTGAACCCTTTAAGAATTTTGAAAACGTTTATTAGGTCCCCTCTTAACTGTCTCTTCTCTAGCGAAAAATGTGTTCAATGCAACTTTGTAATTTGGAAATTTTCCATTTCTAGGACTGGATCATCGCACCGGAGGGTTATGCAGCATTCTACTGTGATGGAGAATGTTCCTTTCCACTCAACGCTCACATGAATGCTACAAACCATGCAATTGTGCAAACACTGGTATGTGCCACAGTCTTTTGCTTTACCTGTACTTTTTCAAAGCAATAACTTTGGAAATATTTGGGAGGCGGGGTGAAAAGTTTAAGAGTTTAAAAGTTTTATTTAAGACCAGAAGTTTCATCTAGTCTTAGCCCATTGCACCATTTTGGCCTTTGCAGTTAAAGATCACGTGGAACTGAGGAAAATTCTCAAACTTGGACCACAGGCCAGTCCCATAGATCACAGACGATCTGTCGAATACAATCAATACAAATTATATTTCTATAGCACTTTTCACGTCAGGAGGACAACTCAAAGCACTTAGCACTGATGGATGGGAAGCTGTTGAAATATATCTCAGCTTCCATCCCAAGTACAGGATGTAAGATGTAAGCAATAATCCAGTCCTACAAATGGACAGTTTCCAAATTATAAAGTTGCATTGTACAACTTTTTCAGCTGTCATTTCGCTGACTGACTATAAATGAGGTCCCATTTGGTCTGAAACTATTACTAATTATAGCACAGATTTGGAAAATGGTCTTCTGTAGGAAATGCTGGACGAAATTAATTTTAATAACGATGATTTGAGTTTGATATTTTATGTGATATTTTTTCACCCCAGTATACCTTTCAGATCCTTTTGTCCCCCTCCTTTATTAATTAGAATTTGTAGGCAACAATCCCCCAAATAACGTTGGTCACTCACTTCAAGATTGTTTGTGGGACATTGCAGTGCGCAAATTGGCTGCAGCCTTCGCCCTCAAAATACACACTGAATCCACTTTGGAGTGTATTTGAGACGTCTCAATGAAGTGATAAGGTGCTATATCAAATGCAAGAATTATTATTATAATAATTATATTATCATTGCAAAAGTAATTTTTGTCAAGTGTACTGATTGTATAGACAAGTACAGCAACCAATTTAATTACCCGTATTCCAGTACCCCTCCAAGCCTTTATATTTAATATATGTACCTAATTCCCTTTTGAAACCCACATTGGACTGTGTCTCTACCACCTTACTTGGCAGATATTTGGCTTCCACATCCCAACAATTAGAAGATCCCACAAACATCAATGAGGTGAATGACTATTAATGTGATAGAGTGAGATTGCTGATCAGAACACTGTGAGAGATTCCTTTCTAATTTTGAAGAATGTTATGCCATCTTCAATGCCTATGTAGAACCAGAGAGGCAGGATCTCAGTTTAATATCTCATCTGAAAGACAGCACCTCTTTCAATGCAATGATATCTCCCATAAATCTTTGCCTGCAAAATACATAGTCATTGTATTTTACACTAAATCATATGAAGTTCGCCGAGACGTCCTCCCAGCATGAAAGGTGCTGTATTGAAAGCAAGGATTATTTCTATTTCTTCATCCCATCATATTGAGTTGGATTCAGGCTCCAGAGGTGAAAGCAAAATGGTCTAAACATTTATGTAGGGTATTAGCTCGACCTGCATTTTAGACCTTATTGTCCAGACATTGCACTGTCCAGTTGTCCACCCCCTCCTCCCCGACATACACAATGATTCAATTACAATGCATTTTAGGGGGAAGTGGAAAAAGCAGGTAAATGGAACTGAAAGGATTGCTCATTAAAAGAGCCAGCACAGACATGAAGGGCCGAATGGCCTTCTGTGCTGTGAATTTCTATGGTTCTATTGAGCACTTTATAAATTGGAGGGATTTTTCCATTAAATACTCAGCATCACGTTAATCCTGAAAGCTGTTGAAACAGCCCGTTCTTTTAGCAGCTGAATAATTATCCACTCTGTAGTTTCCCGGTGAGTAGTTTGGGGCATAGCTTTGAATTTCAGTCTGTTTCCATTTGCAGGTTCACCTGATGTTTCCCGAGAATGTTCCCAAACCTTGCTGTGCACCAACAAAGCTGAACGCGATCTCTGTGCTATACTTTGATGACAGTTCAAACGTAATATTAAAGAAATATAGGAATATGGTGGTGAGGTCCTGCGGGTGTCACTAGCTGAGAATTCAAATGGGAAAGAGGACCCAGTCGAAAGGGAAACAAAAAGAAACCACAAGCTTTAAAACCACCTGGAAACTTTCACTGAGTGACTCCAAATGGGGTTTGAAGGTGCTTTGTGTACAGTATTATGTATATATTACTGATTGTACTTGTAATTTATTTCTATCAATGTATAACTACTTTACTTCAGGAAACTAAAACAAACGTTTGTTCTCTTTCTAGCAGTGCACAAAAAAAACAACTGTGGTTGACTTAAATATTTATTCGTTAGTGCTGAAAACTGGTACGTTTTTTTTCCAGACAAGGCTTTCCTTCACATTACGAAAAAGTGGTAAATGGCTTATTAACTTATCTGATTTCCTGCTATATATTTTTTTAAAAGAGAAGGGATTTTTAATTATTTTTACACACTTCATCGCCTTCTTGAACTGTACCATATAGAAAAATTAGAGATTGACAATATTTGTCCTATTCACATTTGTACTGTATATCTGAAAACTTTGGGGAACATTTTATGAAATATATTCCAATTCTGAATTTACACTACCATTATGATTTGTTAGTTTAGTCCATATGGAATCACAGACTAGAAATAGTCCCTACATCTAATTCAGATGTAGAGTTAACATGAAGAAAGCCTTTCAATCCATTTGATCTCATCCTTCCAGAAAAAAAATCACATCAACAACAACAACAAATTACATTTATATAGCGCCTTTCATGTTGGAAGGATGTCCCTAAGCGCTGGATAGTTAAGGGTTTGCACCCGAGCTGGGGTTTGGAATGAAAAGGGTTGGAGGGTAGAGGGAGTGGGGGTGGAAGTGTGGCTGAAGTTATGGTCAAAGACGAAGGTCTTGAGACGGGCCTTGAAAGAGTGAGGGAGGGGACAAGATGGAGGGATTCCAGGGATGGAGTTCCAGACGGTGGGGGCAGAAAAGGTGAAGGGCTCTTCGCCAGTGGTGGGACAGGCAGGGCAGGGGGACATGGAGAAGGCCAGTGCTCACCGAACAGATTATCATTTCCCATTGTAACATTCAGCTGTTCTTTAAACAACTAGAATCTTGGGGTTGCTGCCATGTTCTTTTGGTAACTCATACCAACTGTTGATTACCCTCAGTATTAAAGATATACTGCCTGGTGTCTGTTCTGATATTGCTCTTCGCAACCATGATGCTGTGCCTTCTTGTCATGCTGTCTTGGCATATCTGTAAGGCTTTACATTTTCAATCCCACTTAACATCTTAAGCACCCATTATGGCCCTCTGTGAGATGTGTATTTTCAAAGCTGAAGAACCTCTTCTAGTCGTTTTTCATAACTCATCCCTCTCAGACATTAGGGACCATCCTATAAAAATAAACAAATGCTATAAAGTGGACAGGGGTGTTTGGTGGAGATAGAGCTTTGATAAACTAAACTGTGTTCAGCTTCATGACAGTGGAATTTGCAATGGCCTTGACTTACTGCTACCTTTCTATAATAACTTATTTTTCTATTGTTAGTATTAAGATTTCAGATGACTAGATTTACGACTTTGCCTGTGATTCTTTTGGTTTGCATTGTTCTCTTCCTGTCATGTTTTCAAAACTAATTAATCCCTCCTTCCATGCATCCCCGCCTCCCTCCATCCCTCCATGTATCCAAGCAGAGTCCTGTAGCATATTGGCTAGAGCACTCGCCTCGCAATTGAGAGGACACGGGTTCGATTCCCGGGCAGGGCAAAACCGTAGGCAAGTTTCCTTACTCCACACATCTCTGTTTACTTGCCAATAAGTAGTAACCCAGTTGTCAGTTGATTGGCATAATCAATAACCCCTTAAAAAAGTGGTCACTCAATCCACGAGTGTTTGTGGGACACTGCTGTGCACAATTGGCTGCCACGCTTCACCCACAAAATATCTACAATCAATTTACTTTACAATATATTCTGTGAAGCGCTTCGAGACAGTTCAATGATGTAATAAGGCGTTATATAAATAATACAAGGATTATTATTATATTAGTATATCCATCCATTCCTCCCTCCCTTCCTTCATCCTTCCCTCCATCCACCTGTTTTCATGCATCTACTCCCTCCTTCATCGTCCATTTATTTCATTTCGTCCATTCACCACCCTCCCATTTGCAAAAATTCAAATAGAAGGGAGACTTGTAACTGGGCCACTTTTGCATGGTTCCTTGTGCATGACACAGCCTGGAGCAAAGCAGAAGAGAGTAATCACTCACACATCATTTACAAGGGCTCATTAAATGAACCTATGTTCTAATATTAACTTTTTTCCCAAACAGTTTGCATGTTCAGTCTGTCTGATCTGCACTTCTGTTGGTTTATTAACATAAAACAGGGTCTGCTTTCAGCAAAACCTTCTCAATATAACACTGCACCTCAACAAAGTGCTCTTTGAGTTATGAATGTAAAAGTTGTTTTAACCTGCTTTTCGCCCACAGCTGAATACAAAAAAAGTTGCGTGAAATTGGACTTGTGTATATGACCTTTGATTTTGCAGCTTTCAAATTCATATTCATTTGATACCGTGTAAGAGAGGTATTATGTCTCGGGAGTCATTGATTTCTTTTGTGTGCAGCTGTACATTTGGTGAACATTTGACTTGCTCACTAAGGTACAAGGCCTGTATCCTTGCTCGAGTAACACACTTAAGAGGTTGATCAAAATGGTTGAAATGGCTTCCTCTCGACAAGAAGACAATTTATTTGCTGGATTTAATGCTACAGGCTGCGCGTTCACTTCCTTCCTATAAATATTTCAATAAGTGTATGAAGCCTTTTCCACACGTGCAACACTGAAGCATTGCACTCACATTATACAGATACATATAGAGCTCTAGATGAGTTTTAGAAGAGTTTATGCCCTTTTTGACATAGAGATACACATTTCCGTTGGTTGTGCTTTGTGTTTGTATCAAGGTACTTTACAATATTTCATATCATCAATGGCCACTATAGGAGCATCCTTACTCCAAATATCATTTTGGGGTAAGAGTGCTCATATAGAGGACAGTAGTACAAAGTTTTGGAACTCTTTTTGTAAGAAAGCTGTGTACTGGTATTGTATGTATGTTATACAGGAATATATTTTCTAGAATAAAAGATGTATAAGTGTCAGTAACTAAACTGTGGTACTTTGACGTTTTCCCCATTTGAGGCACTTACTGTTTCTTCTATTGAACAATAGCTATGTGCTACACCTTACAGAACTGTGTAATAATCGTGGAATTCAGACATTGTCTCATCCCAAGTCATTGAACTGAAACCCCATCTACCTTTTCAGGTGAATGTTAAAGTTTCAATGATATTGTTAGAGAAGAGAGTTTCTCCCAATGCCCTGGCCAGCAATCCTCTTAATAAATAGATAGTAAAATTCCAGGCTTTTTATGCAACTTTGCTGTACACAGCTGATGTGTTCATCTACAATTGCAATTATTGTTCTTTACAGCAATCTCCTGAGAAGCACTTTGAGACGTTTCAATATTGTAGTTGCTTCATCAAATGCAAGGACCATCATTATTATTTTAACCCTAAGAAAGGATTTCTTTTGAAGACTTTATCTTCTCTGCATAATATCTGATGGCACACAATTATTTTTTTGACTTGGGATAAGGGAGAAGGAGAAACAGTACAAAAGTGAAATCAAAAATCCTTTCAAAACAAATGGTTGTGAAATGCGAAATGATCTGCTCCAGAAAGCTATAGCTCTAATCATTTGTGATGCTGAAGAGGGAGTTGGACAGATATTTGGGAAGAAAGTCTATTGAGGGACATGGAGAAAAGGCAGGGAAATGGGTTTAAAAGATATGTTGTGATCTGATTCAATGATACAGTAGGTTTGATGGGTCAAATGGTCCTCTGTCCACATTAATTTATTTTATTCAGGGGAAAAGGTGACCAGAGTAAATAAGTCATGAAGTTTTAAGGAAGGATGAATAGTTTGTCACTTTATATGATTACCTTTGGAGTATCTTGGCAGAATTTGCCCCTGAGAGATGAGTGGGTTTGAGTAGAGCTTGCAACAGAGTAAATTGCCCATAATCTGTGGAAGAGGTAGGATTAATCACCTGCTCTCATGCCTCTATGGAGTAGTTTTGTTGACTTGTGATATATCTAGTGATTAATAAACTGACCTTTGAAAATAAACGCAGCAGTTTATGCAATACATTTAATATTGAAATAAACACAGGAATTACTGGAAATACACAGCAGGTCAATGAGAATCTGAATAGGACAGAGGTCAAAACTTTGCTTATGACTCTATCAGAGCAATGGTTAAAACCTTGTTGCTTTTGGTTCTGCATTTCCAGCCTTTTCTGCTTTTATTTCAGATCTGCATTGGTAGTGCTTTTACATTAAATACTTATACCAACTGTGAGTCGAAAGGTTGTGGGATCAAGACACACTTTAGGATATTTAAGCTCAGTTCAGGGGGACATTAAAAGATCCCTGAAAAGAGAGGAACGTTTCTCTCCAGTGTTCTGTCAACAATCCTTCAGTTAATTTGGTCATTCATTTCATGGCCATTTATGGGACATTGATAAAAGGTGTTAGCTTGGCTCAGTGGTAGCATTCCCGCCTCTGAGTTAGAAGGCTGTAGGTTCACATAGTGCAATGCTGGGGATGTGCTGCATTGTCGGAGGTACTGTCCTTCTGATGAGATGTTAAACTGAGGTCCCATCTGCCTGTTAAGGTAGATGTTAAAGATTCCGTGGCACTATTTGTAAAGAGTTTCCCCCAATGTCCCGGCCAACAATCCCACAAATACAATTGGTCACTCACTCCGTGGCTGTATGTGGGACACTGCTGTGGCTGCCTCATTTCATCACAAGAAGTTTAGGGCATTCATTGATGAAAGTAGTGAGTGTTGGAAAATAAGAAGGTTTGCAAATTGGCTGCTGCATTTCTCCACAAAATACAGTCAAACCACTTAACAATGTATCTGGTGAAGGGCTTTGAGACCTCTCGACGACATGATAAGGTGCTGCACCAAATGCAAGGATTATTATTGTTATTAAGAGCAAATTGGATATCTTATTTGCCTATTAAGAAGTGAAACAAAATAAATCTTGTGAAGCACTTTGAGATGTTTTGATAAGGTGTAATACAAATGCAAGAATTGTTATTATTAACTCAAGGGCAAATATTCCATTCATCATTGATTGCACCCTAGCCTTTACTGGAATTTCCCATTATGCTCGTGACACTGAACGGAACATTTTGCTCATTTGACTACCAACCAAGTTAGTTGGAAAGCTCCTTTTTATCATGCAATGATTGCAGATGTTCAAAGAAGAAGATATTTGAAACAAATGCAATTTGACTGGCAGAACACTGACATTGCACTAACTAGTAAATCTGTACTCGGAGGTTGAAGACAAAACAAGAAACTTTAAAGGCTATTTTGTACTCTTCTATTTCTTGATAATTCCCTCTCCTTCAGATCCTGGGGTAGTGAAAATACAACATTACTGAGGTACTTTCCACTGATGCCAATATCCCTCCTATACTTTATCCCCCCCAAAAAATTGGTTCATCAATCCATGATTGTTTGTGTGACTTTGCAATTGACTGCCGTGTTTCACCCACAAAATACAGTCAATCCACTTTACAATATACTCTATGAAGCGCTTTGAGATGTCTCAATAATGTGATTAAGGCGTTATATCAAAT